CACGTGAATTTTGTGATATTTTAGAATTTATTAAAATTTAATTGGATTAAATTCTAAAATATCACAAAACTCACGTGTTAAACCCGAATTATTAAAACCGGTTCCAACCTCTAGTTGAGGTTCGTAATACCGGGCGCAGTACTACACCTATGAGTTGCGCAGAACTCTAGATACGATGCAAATAATGTTTTTTGGTCCAATAATTAGAGGTTTGAATAATTTGGCATAATGGTACAAAATAGTAGAAATTTTCCAGGCAAATTTGCCTGGAAATGATCTACAAATTAAGGGATAGCACTCTCCTTAGATGATAACCGGGTATAATAAAGCTCATATCAAAATACAAAATTTCCAAATCTTTTGTAAAGTTCATTGAAGTTCTGTAAATTCCATTAATTTATAGCACCATTTCCATGTATATGATGTCTATTACACGAAGTATAATTTTGAAGTTCGCTTAATACTAATGGTTTTATTACATGAAATAATATAGTATATTCATATGGTAACTACTAAGTATTATTTGTTTTCATTAACTCTAGCACTTTATCTTCAAGATCGAATAGGTGACTGTCATGTGCATCTGGTGCCAGTTCTCTGAGAGCAGAGGCTAAATTAAACAAATATTCTTTGTTTGGACCACTTGGACCTGTAAAAGAGATTAAGATTAATTATAAAAGAAAAAAGAAAAATTCGGGCAATATTAACATACCAACAGACAGAAATATTTGTCGAGCTATAGCATCTAAAGAAGCAGATCCAACATATGACTCGTTCTTGGTGGTTGCAATATATACAACAGCCTTTGATACGGATTTATTCGTGACTTAATGTTTAATTCATGTCGAAATCCCTAAAATTCCAACGAGGAACTTACATTTTTGACTATAGGTTCGTCATGCCCTAATTGATACACATCTGCATAATGTATCGTATATCCGCACTGTCGAAAATCAATTCATGTTTATTATGAGCACTATTTTATATAAATATTTGTTTTAATGCAAACCTTTTCACGATAATCCAGGTAAGCCTTGATGGCTTCAACGTCGTCCTCATTGATCTTGTAGGCGACGCCCCATGTGACACCATCTTTGTTATCGTGCTGAAATCACATGACTGTTAATAAGGCGATAAGTACTTACGTACATGTATAATTATATCAACATTACATAATCCTCCATTAATTTCCATTCCTCGAACGGGATCAATGTGACGACACGACCAGGGTTTTTTTCTGTTCCACGATGGTCGGTGCTATGCTGCAACGTCCATTCAATAATTGAAACGAAACATATCGAATTTGAACAATAAGATATAAAAATACATACTTGCCAAAACCTCCGTACATGTCCCTTAATAAAACCTGGAATTCTATTATCTATGGTTAAGCATTGAACACAGGGCATTGAACACAGGGCCTTAAAGATTAAATATAAGAAACTGACCTTTTCTCGTATACTGGTGGTGGTTTCCAAATTAAAGATCCATAACCAAACACCCAATATTCTGTGTCTATATTGTTATGTTCCTGAGAAGACATTAAGGCAAAGGGGGTAAAATGACGAAGTTAACAGTTTTCACTAGCAAAAAGCTTTATCCTCTTGAATTTTTAAATACAGATCTTAAATCTAATTATAAAAAAAAACTATGCAGCATTACTTAGAGAACTACGATTCATAATTTTAGGAGTAAATTAGCGAACGGGGTGAACGCATGTGAATCGACGATCTTTTTAATACGTTTCTATTTCTTCCATGTGACCTTCACTCCAGCGATTTTTTTATTAAAAGATTTTCGTTATACATTTTGGCGCAGAAAATTACTATGTGCAAAAGCTTACAACGAAAAATCTTTAACAGTTAATAGAAATTAAATCGTATTTTACCAGAACTTGAAGCATATTTCGAACAACTCTACTTAGTGAATGTAAGTTCTATTTATTTAGTGAAAAAATCGTGCTTTATTGTAATATATTTCAATTCGTCACTTTTACCATAATATTCGCTGTGGTGTTATCACTCGGACAACTCGGACAGAACTAGACACCAAATAATGCAAATTTTATTAACGTTAAAGTTGTTCGGAATTAACTTTCGCATTTTTAGATTTATAAGCCAGATGAGAGTCGTTCGGCTAATGTACAACACTGCGCGATAGGGGCCGAGCCAAACTTTCAAAAAAAACAAATTTAAATAGTTTCTAAAAATATTATACGTATGTTTTTTATTTGACTTTTATGTGTCAGAGTCCATTTCCTGAGTAAAATATATTAAATAGAATCCAGATACTAAACGCTCTTATTAGATTATCAAATATACTATATAAATTTTCAATTGAATAAAATTGACCAATTACAGATAATGAACTGTAAATCTTATTAATATCTAATAGAGATTGGCTAATTTTCAACAGTCCGCAGTCATTGGTGATCAGAGACTAATAATAAACTCTTCCAAAAATTTGTTGCGGCATAGTATTTATCTTTTTTTTTTTAGTGTATCACGTTTTGTTTCGTTTTAAATTCTCAACAATGTCTGACAGCATTTCAAGCACAAACGCTCAATCCTCTACTAACACTGAACAATCTAGTAGAAGTCGTCATAGTCGAGGCGGGCGAGCAGGTGGACGGCCGTATCATAGAAGAGGGCAGGGTGAACGACATTCCGAGAATGCTGCACAGAGTTCAAATGGCATATGTAAATTTGACAAATTTGACAAGGTGAAGGGAAATGCTGACTCAACCTCATTCAGTGAAAACGGTTGCATGATATGTACCGAGCCGATCATTTTCTATGCTGTTGCCGATTGCAACCATCGAACATGTCATCTTTGTAATCTGAGGTTACGAGCTTTGTACAAAATTAAGAACTGCGCATATTGCAAGGTATTTATATAGCTTCAATTAATAGCGATCAGAAAGTTCTTGGATCAACGAGCACAGTGACGATGATTTTCTGCGGCGATATTTATTATTTTTAAAAATGAATAAATGTCACCGCAGAAATCATCGTCTCTGAACGAACATAATACTAACGAATACCTTTATATTGATGTCTTATTTCCAGACTGAACAAACTAAAGTTATTTTTACTCGCGATCCCGAAAAGCCTTTTCAAGACTACAAAGATACTGATGTTCCTTTCAAGGATGAGAAATTAAATGTTTTTTGTGAAGATGAGGAAATTTATAATGATATAATGGTCAAGTTGAGATATAATTGTCCGGGCAACAAATGCGAAGTAGTTTGCAATGGGTGGCAAGATTTGAAAAAACATGTGAGAAGAGAGCATAAATTGTGGCTTTGGTATGTTTACATACCGTTTCAAAATAGATAAATGAAAAAAAAAAATAAATACAAATGCATAATTCATACTTATATCTTTTTAATTTATAGCGACCTCTGTATTCAGCATAAAAAAATATTTACAAAAGAACATAAGCTCTTTACGAGCAATCAGCTTGATAAACATTATATAGAAGGAGATGAAACCGGGTTTACTGGGCATCCTAGATGTGATTTTTGTTGTATAGACTTTTATGGTGATGATGAACTTTATGAACATTGCCGAAATAGTCATGAACAATGTCATATTTGCTTACGGGCTGGAATAAGACATCAATACTATATTAATTATAATGAATTGGTAAATATTTTATACCATTATTTTTATTTAAATGAATTATATGAGATTAATCTGTCAATATTATTATTAGGAACAACATTTCAGGAATGGTCACTTTTTTTGTCTGCATCAAGAATGTCTAGACAAAAAATTCGTAGTTTTCGAAACTGATATTGATTTGAAAGCTCATGAGGTGTGTAATGCACTGAAATTTATGTAGACAACTACTAGCATAGATAAATTGCGCTTAATTCTTATCTTTTAAATATCTTATCGATTAATCTTTTAGGTAGAAACTCATGGATCCTATATTAGTGGGCAGAGAGCGAAACAACATGAGGCGAGGCGGATTGAAGTGAATTTTATTTCTTATGGTGAATCACTTAGAAATCGGCGGAGAAATCAAGAAAGGCAAGGGGTAAATAGTATTTTCATGTTCGCTCAACTTGATTACTTTGTAGTGCTTTATACTTATTAGACATTCACTTTTTAACTCGTAGCCAGAAAATAGAAACGATTACAATGAAGGTGGTAGATCTGCGATTGAAGAAGTTGTACGGCAAATACAGAACATTAATGTATCAGAATCAAACTCTTCTATGAATGGTAGCACGAGTGCCAATGTAAGGGCGGTAAGGCCACCCCCAGGTTTTGGTGTTTTATCTTCTAATGAAGTAATTGGCCCACCAGATGAACCACCCCCACAAACTGTCCAACGTAATAGGACTCCTAATCCTATTATCCCTCGCGTGCGGGATGATGAATTTCCAACTCTAAGCGCGGCATCCAGGGTTACTAATAATGCTGGCATACCTCCCATAAATTATAGTGAAAAGGTGCGTGCTAATAGATCGTCAATGATCAATAAGCCGAAATCGACAATGCAACAACGATCAACACTAAATGGGGATGCGAGTAGAAAAAGCCAAGCATCATCATCATCACCATCATCATCACCATTTATTCAATCTACGCAAGGATCAAGTAGTGGTACTTCTTCAAAAGGAAAAGAATTAGCACATGTATCTGAGAATCAAACGACAATCGTTTCTGATATTCCAAACTACAGTCAAAGGGTAAAAAATAATGGTCCTGCAATTTCCAGGTAATATTACTTGTCATCCCAGATATTTGAGTGATTAATATTGAAAATTTGTTACTGATTATGATTTTATGTGCGTATTATTGTAATAAATAGTCGACAAGATGAATTTCTCCGTCGTGTCAATGGCTATTTGTCTAATAATAAGTCAAAAATGAATGAATTTTGTTCGATTATTGCTGCATACAGAAATGAAGCTGTTAATGCACAGCAATTTATAGAGGCTTTATGGAATATATTCAACAAGCGTATCGACACTATTGGAAAGGTAGTATCAGGATTTGTGGATGTGTTAGATAATAAACCAAAAAAAAGTGCCTTGTTAAGTGCCTGGAATGATCGTAAATCTATGGTTAGTATACTTAATGATATTTTCGATTGTTTACAAAATATTAACTTTAATTCTCTCAAGATTAACATGGAATTCCCTGCGTTGGAGCCTCTTAGTTCCCCGCCTCAAGTAGCCGCAAATAAAAATCCTAAAACCCGTAATTCGAACAAACCAGCGCACCGTGTTCTAGTAATAAAATCTTCGAATACGCGATCCGGTAGTGCACGACCCAGCGGTACTTAGTGCTTAGATCCGGACATTCTATTTTATATTTCTTTAATCTAGATTTATAAATAGATGTTTCCGATTCTTAGCCGGGTTAGATTTTAATAGTTTTTGAAATTTGATTTAATAAACGAATACCATAAATTAGTAGTCTATGTAATTAATTAAAAAAAAAAAAAAGACCTAAAATAATACAGCTTTAGTCTTCACACAATGATATCCTTCTTATCGGTATAATACAATTTTAATTAATTTGGGTAGATTCTAAAGATGAGTAGTATTTTACAGTGTTGGGTTGAGAGTTCCAAACAATATATTTTATGTTTATCATGTGATTTTGATTTATAATAACCAGAGGACGTAACAGTATTGAAGTTTATTAACATTAACCAATGTTCATTGACAGTCTATGCATTACAACCCGAATTTATGTCATTTTCTTTTAAATGTGACATTTCTATACCAAAATTTTTAGTATACAATTGATTTTTTTAAAATTTTTACTTTAAAAAACTTTACTAATTATGAGTTGGTCAGTCGAATTTTAAATTATTAAAATTAGAAGCTTTAAATTGCTGAATTTTCGAACTAACTTAAAAGTTGATTCAATTTTAAAAATAAAAAGCGTATAAATTCGATTTAAACATCAATACATCGCAAAATCATGCAATTTCGAAATTTGGTCCAAATTAAGCTTAATTCTGGCCATTATTCTAACTAAATAAATGCTCATGAGCGAAAATACGGGATGTATATATTCTAGTCAATCACAGCTACTTCCGCGAGGGGATTTGCCTTTTTACTTTGCAACGATTCATATTATCTATTTGTGACACTAATGTCTTTTCGCACACTTATAACTTTTGATGCATAAGTTGTTCAACTCATTAACGAACGGTTTGAAAAACGTAAAGTATTGCTTGGAAATTTACCAATATATTTATATATATATTGGGGTTAGAAACCAAGCAAATATTTTTAGTAAGTTTTTTTTAAACTTTAAACAAAGATAACAGAAACTTAATCAAATTTAATAAGAATTATTGTCACGGCTGATGCTAAAATCTTGGATCTCGATTTAAAGACATAAAGCCCTATTAAAATCCGCCTATGCTCTTTAAATATCTAAACCCTAATTTAACCCTAAAATTTCATATAAAAATTAGCATCAGGCGCGATAATTATTTTCAAAAAACTGGCTGACATCTTTGTAGAGTTCAGTTCTGTGCATAAAGGTATCGGTCGTTCTTTGTAAAAAGTTTTACATAGCGTTTTAAAAAAAATACTATTATATACTACTATTTGGCGCAGCATGCTCAGTAAAATATTTATAATTTATTTTTTTAGTTATAAAATATCATATATATTAAATTTTTATTTTTAATTTAAAGGTGAGACTATATTAAATTTTTATTTTTATTTTTTTTTTTAATATTTGAGGTGTATATTAAATTTTTTTTTATTTTTTTTTTTTAAATATTAAAGGTATATTAAATTTTTATTTTTATTTTTTTTTTTAATGTTTAAGGTGAGACCTTGCTTTTATCTTTATTAAACTTAATGAAAACTTTTTGCATGATTGAAAAAGATTTTATATTTTAAGCCTAGTGCTAAGAATAAGAACTCAGACATATAACTAGAGAGACTAAGTAGCCGATCTAGAGACTTATCTGTGGTTTAAACCTACCAGAGTGGTCAAAGCTCACCTAGATTTGAGAGAAGTTAAAAATAATATTAAATTTTTATATTAAACTAATTTTTTAAATTTTAATATAATTTCATAGTATATAACTAAAATTACAAAATAGAATAATAAAGTTAAATTTTTTATTAATAAATTAGATATTTTTTTTAAATAAAGTTATTTAGTATAATAAATTATACATATCTTGAAAATTTTATATTTTTTTAAAAAATATTTAGTAAATTACTATATAGTAATAAAATTACTATATTTTGCAATTTGTTAATTTTATTTTAATTGATAATCCATGAGTCAACCAGAGAGTGATCATAGTGAAACATGATATAGATTATTTATAAAAATTAGGATTTTGTGAATATGACATGCATGTATCTAAAATTTTTTTTTATACTAAATTAACTACTTTTTTAACTTAAAAAAACTTTTATAAAGCTTGTTAAAATATATCTAATAGTAATAGTATAACAGAAGTTTAATTTTATTAGCTATATGTATGTAAATTGTAGATTCTAAATTGTAAAATATAATTGGCTAATAAAATTAGTAAAATTTTATATGTACTTGTAAGATCTTGTTGATTAAAAATTTTGTAGCTAAGTATTCATTATAAATAGAGCAGTGTGTTTTGTATAGTTTTTATATAGTCAAGTTTATATATAATTGAAAGAGTATCAGGAAACTAAATTAGGAAGGTTGTGGCTTGAGATACGGACCGGGTTGTGGCAGCATCCAAAGATGGCTTGAGATATGAACTGGGTGATGGCAGCATAGCATGTACTAGTTAAGGGAAATGTTACTGAACACGCAGGTGAGCACATGTGTAGGACATGTACTATTCTGTTAGGTTTACTACAAGGTTAAATGCCCTCGTTCTGAAAGGAATGAGTGTTGGTTTGGCTAAAGTCCTAGGGTCTTTAACAGTAAATTATCCCCGAAAGAGTATATTAGAAGGAAGCATGGGACAGAGGTCGTACCAAAGAGTTTAAATAGATAGCTTCCTAGTTAGGCTATAGGTATAGCAGCTAGTGTAGAATATTCAGGTGGACTACTTAAATTAGATAACCAAAAGTTGTACATGTGGCTAGTTGTACTCTTGTAATACCGATATAACATGTGGTCAAGTCTTCAGATATATGGCCTAACTGCTTGTACTAATAAAGTGCCAAGGGCCTAAGTGGTCACCTTAATATTAAAAAAAAAAAAAAAAGAAATATTTGTGCCAAAAGAAATATATTCCCAATAGTATGTAAAATTTAATTTTTCACAGAAAGGACAAGTATTGAATCGACTAGTTTTTTTTTCTTTTTTAACATTTTTTTTATTATCTTTTAAATATTTACATAATACATATTTTAGAAATATTGTGATTACTTTGTTATTTTCTGTTTTTTTAACATGAAAAATTCACATTTATTGATATAAAATTTATAATTGTGATTAAGATATTATTCAAAAAAGAGTTTGGGAAGTTGTAGTTTAAGTGATGAAGGAATAATTAAATTTTTGATTAAATTTTTACAATCCATAATATTGATATTTTATGATGATATAATTTATCTTTTTATAGATGAATTTGAAGAGATAAGCTAAAATTTTCAAAAATATTTTTATGAGATAAGTTGTAAATTTTACGTAAATTTGATAATAATTCCAAATTTGTAAAACATGAATAAAGAAGTTCATTGAACTTCCTAATTCGTAAAATATGAATTTAGTCAACAAAAAGATAAAACTAGGCCAAATTCATAAAATATGAATTTGGCAAATTACTAATTCATATTCAAATTCATATTTTACAAATTAGAAAGTTCAATGAACTTTCTTATTTATAAATACAAATTTAAATGTTTTCAATGATAATTAATGAAAATTGAGAGTAAATTATGAGTGAAAATAAGAGTAAAATTACAAGAAGTTTGAAGGTTTTATTTATGATTAAATAAGAATATTTATTTAAAATTAGAGAAAGTTTTATTTATTAATATTAATAAATAAGTATAAATATAATATGACTTTGTCTTTTTCTTTTTAAGATATTAGTAATAAAATTTGATAATTGTTTTTGTTTAGTTAGTTTTGTTACTTATAATTTTGTTCATGAGGAATTTGATTCTTTAATTTGTCTTTATTTTGATGATAAAGAAACCTGCCCATTTAAGCATATTGTTTATCAATATAAATAAAATTATAATGCTGAAAATAGTGAATGAGATTGTCATATTCAAGAATTTTGTTATTTAAAAAATCAAGAAAGAATTGGTAACTATAAATTAGGTATAGGTGATAAAAAAAAAAAGATTGATAGAATTAAAAAATATTTTCAGATTAATAAAATAAAGTTGTCAGTATAGAAGATTCAGTTTTATATTGTAAAAAAAAATATAACAAATATTCAATTTACAATCATCAAATAGTTAAATATAAAGATTATTAACAGCTTACTAAACAGAAATTTATAAAAATACTATATTAGATGAAAATAAGGGGAGCATCATTTATCACCTGATTTTTAGGGTAGGAGGTAGGGTTGCACCCCAAACTCACTAGTTTGGGATTAGGTAGAATCCCAAACAGTATTTACTGGTTTCAGAAAAGTATCTCTAATTTGCTATAATGTCAAACATTTTGGCATATATCTTATATTTCGGCTAAAATCCCAAACTTTTACATGTAAAAATTGGGTTTGGGACTCATTCTATTGTATTCGACCACCTGTATTGTATTAATTTAGCCTTTTTTGTACCATATTACAATCTGAGGATGGGGCAATAGCCTTACTATACTACGTAATAGAATCTAATTTCTTATCTTTTTTTTATCTTACTATTGCGATAATACACAATAAGTAGTTAAGGTCGAGTTAATTTGTATTTAAATTAACATTTTTTTTTTTTTTAGCTTAGATTATCTCAAGGCAGGTTTTGATAATAGTTCAAAACTGAGTTACGAATTGGATCATGTGTCACAGGTAAATTAAATAATTAAGCAGGATTACAAAGAAATTTTTAAAAATTTTAAAAGAATCAATTTTTACTAAAAATTTTAATTTTAAAATTTATTAAACCTCTATGCGAACATCTACTTGAATTTCGAAAAAACTTGGTTAAAAAATTTATTATTTATGATTCGAAGATATTATATTTCATTTTGAATGAAAAAAGCTTTTGCTTTTATAATTAATTATTCATATAAGTCGTCATCACTTAATATATTCCAAACCAATAACTTACTTTCAAATTCCATACTTGGTTCTTCATCAGTCGAAACAGTTTCTTGAGCTTCTCCTTGATTATTATTTCCTCCAAATGTTGGA